CTTTCACTGTGCACAGGGATAGCGGTTAGGTCATGTACGGGGATCAGGAAAGGACTGGAGGGGAGTGTGGCGTGCTTAACATGGATGGCATCAGTACGGTATAGAACAGTACCTCTAGTGCCGTACAGTACAGTGCCGTTCATCGCCGTAAACGGCTTTGTTACCTTCCACCGAATAGTGTTCACCAAGAAGCTAAGCAGGCAGCACACTTCCAATCGAGGCCATTATGTAGGACAAGACTGATTGGGACATACTGCGATGTAGTGGTTACATGTGCATCCCACCCAACTTACCCTTCAGCTTCTCGACTTTCTCGACTTCGACCTTCACGGGCTGTAGGGGAATTTGGGGCTGCTTGGGGGCCTTGGGCTGCTTGGGGGCCTTGGGCTGCTTAGGGGCAGTCGGCTGCTCTGGGGCCTTGGGCTGCTTAGGGGCCTTGGGCTGCTTAGGGGCAGTCGGCTGCTCGGGGGCCTTGGGCTGCTTAGGGGCCTTGGGCTGCTTAGGGGCAGTCGGCTGCTCGGGGGCCTTGGGCTGCTTGGGAGCCTTAGGCTGCTTAGGGGCAGTCGGCTGCTCGGGGGCCTTGGGCTGCTTGGGGGCCTTCACGGGCTGTAGGGGAATTCGGCTGCTTGGGGGCCTTGGGCTGCTTGGGGGCCTTGGGCTGCTTAGGGGCAGTCGGCTGCTCTGGGGCCTTGGGCTGCTTAGGGGCCTTGGGCTGCTTAGGGGCAGTCGGCTGCTCGGGGGCCTTGGGCTGCTTAGGGGCCTTGGGCTGCTTAGGGGCAGTCGGCTGCTCGGGGGCCTTGGGCTGCTTGGGAGCCTTAGGCTGCTTAGGGGCAGTCGGCTGCCTGGGGGCCTTGGGCTGCTTGGGGGCCTTGGGCTGCTTAGGGGCAGTCGGCTGCTCGGGGGCCTTGGGCTGCTTAGGGGCCTTGGGCTGCTTAGGGGCAGTCGGCTGCTCTGGGGCCTTGGGCTGCTTGGGAGCCTTAGGCTGCTTAGGGGCAGTCGGCTGCTCGGGGGCCTTGGGCTGCTTGGGGGCCTTGGGCTGCTTAGGGGCAGTCGGCTGCTCGGGGGCCTTGGGCTGCTTAGGGGCCTTCGGGCTGCTTAGGGGCAGTCGGCTGCTTGGGGGCCTTGGGCTGCTTGGGGCCTTAGGCTGCTTAGGGGCAGTCGGCTGCTCGGGGGCCTTGGGCTGCTTAGGGGCCTTGGGCTGCTTAGGGGCAGTCGGCTGCTCGGGGGCCTTGGGCTGCTTGGGAGCCTTAGGCTGCTTAGGGGCAGTCGGCTGCTCGGGGGCCTTGGGCTGCTTAGGGGCCTTGGGCTGCTTGGGGGCAGTCGGCTGCTCTGGGGCCTTGGGCTGCTTGGGGGCAGTCGGCTGCTCGGGGGCCTTGGGCTGCTTGGGGGCCTTGGGCTGCTTGGGGGCAGTCGGCTGCTCGGGGGCCTTGGGCTGCTTAGGGGCAGTCGGCTGCTCTGGGGCCTTGGGCTGCTTGGGGGCAGTCGGCTGCTCGGGGGCCTGGGCTGCTTGGGGGCCTTGGGCTGCTTGGGGGCAGTCGGCTGCTCGGGGGCCTTGGGCTGCTCTGGGGCCTTGGGCTGCTTGGGGGCAGTCGGCTGCTCAGGGGCCTTGGGCTGCTTAGGGGCCTTGGGCTGCTTAGGGGCAGTCGGCTGCTCTGGGGCCTTGGGCTGCTTGGGGGCAGTCGGCTGCTCTGGGGCCTTGGGCTGCTTGGGGGCCTTGGGCTGCTTGGGGGCAGTCGGCTGCTCGGGGGCCTTGGGCTGCTCTGGGGCCTTGGGCTGCTTTGGGGCAGTCGGCTGCTCGGGGGCCTTTGGCTGCTTAGGGGCCTTTGGCTGCTTGGGGGCAGTCGGCTGCTCGGGGGCCTTGGGCTGCTCA